ATTACTGCTGTGGTCAAATATGTATGATAAATGCTGATTACTTCATGCACATAAATGGCTGTTTGTGGTATATGTGTATAAATGTTCACCGCCTAATGAAATGTTATCGGATGTAGCCAAGTATTCAAAAGAAGAAGCTCTCTTACCCTCTCTTTTGCCCCCTTCAGACAGGAAGACAATATAAAAGCTTGAAGGAAAATGATTCCTCTGGTGCAGGGCCCTAGACACAGTCTCCTAAAGGTCTCTCTGCATAAAGGACTGGTTCAACTCCAACTTGCTCTGGACTCTGTCCCCAGGCACTGTTGTTTTGACAGCCGCATAACGGGACAGAGAACTGACCTACCTGAAAGTTTGTTTCCCAGCTCATCTGTAGCGGAATGCACAGCTGAGGGGACTGGGAGAAAGCAGAAACCTGATCTGAGGTTACCTTAAAACTGTAACACATCAGACACGCCCTTAAGTAGGGCATACTGGGAGCAAGAGAGTGTCACAGCACCAGGGACGTTTTCAACCACATCTTTTGGGGATTGCAAGCAACAAAAGGAAAGCTACTGCTTGAATGGAAGGAACACAGCCTCCTCAGAACTCACAAGTCTTTACTCATAAAAAGACATTAAGGGAAGATAACAGGGCTGAAGACTCTCTCATAGCCTTTTATTAAGTTTGTTAAGTTTTATTATCATTGTATGACAGTGCCATTTTAGTTCTACCTTTCCCAAGTAGGCTCTTATAATATAAATGGTGTAGTAATGCTGACATTCTAAGTCAATGGTGGAAAAAAGTTACAAAAGCATTAACTGTAAGCAAAAAAAACCCCTGCCCTCATATTTGTGCTCTCTCTTTTTGGGCCTTGAATGACTGTCTCATAAACAGCAACTTGAAATCCTATTTTTAGTACAAGTGAGGTGTTGCTTTGCTTGATTTTGGAAAAAAACTCTACTGGTTATTTATTTCAAGGTTCTTTCCAGTAAAAGATGATCAGGTGGTAAAAAATTATCAATAGAGTTCTAAACAATGTGATTTGTATTTTAGACCACTAGAAAATGGCCTTTGCAGAACAGATGTCACACTATAGAAATGTATTTTACCGTAACACGATCTTTACAAACTGCTGTACACGTGCAAGAGTGCCCCAATAGTTAAGTAACTTATTACACACCACAAGAAAAGACATTAAAAATGTACAACTGATTAAATTTTTAAAATAATGCATCACCTGTTATCTTTCTCCTTACCTATTACCCAGAAAATAAAAATGGCAATGCAGCTAAGGGAACTGTAGCTAACAGACTCTCAGACGTTCATTCTGCCTGCTGACCAGCATCCAGGTATTGAAAACACTATTGCTGCGAAAGAGTGAGACCAGTCAGCACCTGTGCAAACACACAGATAGCTTAGCAGTGAAAATGTCACCTAGTGATTACCATGAACTGAAAAAATACCCTGCAAAGTAATTAATATAGTCTGGGCAATTAACACAGGCTAAGTCTACAGGCAAAAATAGCTATATGGGACAGAGAAAAAAAAAAAAAGACCCAGAAACAAAAAAAAGAAAAAACCCAAAACCTAGAGAGAAAGACAAATCTTAAAATAGAATTGCATCGGGTGCCAGACAAGAGATACAAGAGAACCAAATAAAAATTTAAATTTAAACTCTTCCTCATTCTGACTGTGTTATCTACAGCAAAACCAGACACCACACCAGCGTGAAAGGAAGGATACAGGCAAAGAAATGCACCCTGCCCACAGTGAAACACTGAGCCAAAGCACTGCTTGAGCAGAAGACTGAGTTAAGCCAGTCATCCCCTTCATCCCTTCAAGGTAGTTTATAAGTCAGCGTAGCAACTATATGGCAGATGTGATAAAAGCTGCAGAGGAGCGACTACAGTAAAGGAGAAGATGCAGGGTTGTTCACTCATCCCTCCCCTACAAGCACTGCTTGGCAGGGCACAAACTCCACGTCTCCTGATGGGGGCATGGCCACCCAGCCCTTCCATCCCACTGGCAAATGGCTCCAACTTTACTCAGCGCAGGAATAACTTTTGTCCAAGTTACTTCATTGCGTAACTACATCTTGAACCACGAACTATTGCTGTTGCCTAAGACACTCATTCAACTCCTTTAGCTGCAGGTTTCTGAATTCACACTTACTTTGTCTTCTTTTCCCAAAAGAGAAACAGTTTGGAAGAGAGAAAATTATTCACCAAGTGGAAGTTCTCTCATGCCAGATAATCATCTATGCTAGCAGAATAGAATAAATAATTCACTAAGATGCCTTAAAACAAGATATAAAGATGACAAACCAGCTGTCAAGTACCATCTTTTAATCCCTTAACATTCTAACATGTTTTTATAAATTGCACAGTCACAGCTTTTATTATAAAGAAGAAAGACAAAACCAATCAAAACTCAGACAACTACACACCCTTCTTTACCTCTCTTGATGTCATCCAGCTGAGGCTCAGGAGAAGGATTATCTTTCAAAGGAGAAGTTTTAGGTCCAGCTGCTGGCTTGGTTGGGGCTCTGAACTGTGAAGGAGGCTGAGATGCTCGGGCAGACTGTTGCTCTATTCGGGCTTGGATCTTACTGCTGCCCTCTGCTCTGAAAAAACAACCAGAGATATTCAGCAGTACCGTACAACTGTGTTCTGCTTTTCAGTATCCGGGTACTAATGCATCATCTGTGACTTCCTTTTGTGCATATCCCTACTTTGTTTTATAAAGATGAACAGTGAATTACAGCTTTCTGTACGCAACACTTGCCTTCAATAGCAAATATGCATATATAACTACACTGCAACACTCTTACAAAATGCATTTTCAAATCCAGATGTGGTTCAGTGGTGCCAAATTCTCTACTTAAAGAACAATGAAGGCTTTAATTTAGCAATTAGTATTTGTACTTTTAAAAAAGAATATGCAATCATAGTAATTTAAAGTAACCGCATGATAAAACAAATCCACTCATAACAAAATCCTGCTTAAAACATTCATGGCAAAAGAAACGATTTTCTCACTTGCAATTAAATCATCTCAAGCTGAACTCTCTCAGAGGTCAATCTGACTAGAGCAATCACTCTTACTGCTCAATACAGCATGCTAGTACTTAATTCCTGTTTTTCATTCATTTGCTGTTACCCCTTAAAAAAAAAATTAAGCAGTTTCCTTAGTGGGAAATAGTCTCCATGCTATGGAGAGATAGGCTATACCTAGCTGCTCAATTCAGATCAGGTATTTCTTCTTTTTACTGAATCAATGATATGATTCAGATTGTAGGACAATCTTTGGCAGAAAAGAACCCCAAAACAAAACACTTATTCAGGTCCCTCTAAGTTACACCACAGTCAGGCTAAAATGTGCAGTGTATCTATCACATAACACTAAAGCCTTTGGGGGTGTGGCTTTATGCAGCATAGCACAGAGCAGCTTATGTGGATATTAGAGCTCAGTTCCGGTTCTAGGAGGGTCCCAGCTCAGCAGTGAGACATTTTGTGCCTGTCAGCTAATCCCACTGAGAAACAAGTTAAACTAGCCCATGTGGAACTCCCTGGGGCTTTACCTAAATGACTTCTGGTATCTGAGCCAGCACATGTAGCACTAACTTGGGTATTTCAAATTGTAGATGCAACCTCAAAAATTAAACACAGAACCACCTCTTCATTCATCACTGAAATGCAGCTATTAGATACCACATCAATACAGCTTAAATGGCAATTTACAAGAGAAGTCAGGATTTGGGAATACACTGATCTTATCATGTGAAAGGTAAAAGCCAAAAATTGTTTCCAGTATTAATTATGCTCTTGAAAGGACAGAAGGTTTTATGTAGAGTAGGTGCAATTACTCCCCCGCAATTGACATTAGGAAGTTAACACTAAAAACTCTGCTCCCACAGAGTGCCAACAGGTCGTTAAAGATCAAAGTAGCCATGGAAAAAACCAACAACAAACAAACAACAAACACTTCTGATCCATAAAACTGAATGACTCTGCAAAATGGTATTCCTCAAAACAGGAATCCTCCATTTTTTGCTACCCTGTCTCTGCTTGAAAGAAGTTGAAACATTTTTCACCTCATCAGAGCCAGAACTCAGTGGATCCGAACACCTCACTGAACCCAAGGTCTCCTGCACTTCTTTGCTTCTTTCTAGATTAAGCATCACCTGGACCAAGTCCAGCAGAACTCGCACTAGGAATTCAAATCTCATGTATGACATGCTGATATCCTCTGGACAAGATGAATGCCACATGGATGAGTTTTCACATCACTAAGTCAGAGGAGTCCATTCACCATGAACTCAAGGTGTTCTTGGCAAACCTCCAGCCAACTGCTGGTGATCTGCAACCCACATTTCTAGCAATTTTGGCAGCTAGAAGTTTTACACTGCAATATTATTTATTTTTTTTTAATATAGAATTTGTAAAATTACTTAAGAGCTGCTTCTTCTTCATGTAGCTTTTTAATAACTGCTTTCTCTTTCTCAATATCCTGTGGTCCAGTGATGCTGAAAGAACATGATCCAGTGACTTCAAGCACTTGCACAGAAGCAAGACTACCAAAATGTTCCAGCTGCACACTTTGTAGCATTCGTGCAGTGAAGAAAAAATATTGGGTCAGAGAGGATTTTCTGGCCTCAGCAATTCCAATAGAAAAAACCCCACAACTCTTATTTCTACAGTTTTTCTCTCCCCTCCCTGCCCAAGCAGGAGGCTTTGGACTTGGGCTGCACTTTATATATCACTCACCCAATACAGGGATGAGTGTTTCTTGCTCTGGGAGAGTATATTATTAAAGCACCATGACTCTCACTAGAAGCTGCAGGGAACAAATCTAGAAACTCCAACAGTCCTTTTGACTGCCTAATATTTGCATGTTTTTTTTCATCTAAGTAGAGATTCCTGAAACACATCTCGTCCCTCAGCCAGCTTCCAGAGCTTCAAATCATCAGTATTTCACTGCAAACTATAACTATGTTCTTTCAGAATGAAGAACTGACAAATTCTTTACTCTTGGATTCACACTTCTATTTGCATTTTTAGGCAAGATAATTAGCCATGTAAAGCCCATAAGTTAAACATCACTACAAAATAAAAGAAAACTGAGTTCTGGTTCAAGAGACAGTCTGAAAAAACTTCATCAAGAATTAATCCTATCAACAGCACTGTCCCCAGCTTTACCTTGTTTTCTTGACTTGAATGCTGCTACTAAGTTTTTCCAGCACATATTCCCCAGTGTCATGATTGATAATAAGCACACAGTCCTTCTGATATGGCCTTTTATTTCCTTTAAACACAGTCATTGGTGGAGTTGAACCCTGGTATCAAAGAAAGAGCACACAATTTTTGTTGTTATAATCCTCTACCTAAAAATTTACAAACAGTAAGAGAAACAAATACACATCTTGTTGTGACCAAGAGGCTAAGCAATTAATGTTCAGTTCCTACAGAAAACATTAATTCATGAAAAAGGGAAAAACACAGTTATATGCAGTAGATCGGATGCTTCCTCATGGCCATATTATGCCTTTCATAATTTTAAGTGTCTCTGCAGTGAAAAAACATCTCCATGGTTGCCATTATTTACAGTTTTAATTCCCCAAATGGTAACCTAACTGTATTTGCACACTTGGTCCTGACAAGTGTCAGAAATCTTGACATTTCTGCTCTGGAAATCTTGGGCCTGGATAAGAAATAAAGTTCTAATAATTTGTGTAGCAGAACTCTTACCTAAAGAAATATATGGTCAATTAAAAAATAATTTAAACTGCTTTGTATTTTATATATATTTTTTTTTTTTTTAAAGCAGTTATTTTCATAATGGATTACGAGCAACTGTCACAAACTATGTTAAGAACAGCTGCCTTCTTCAAAGTCAGATTAGCACGTAGATGCCATGCAATGATACCAAAACAGCTTCTCAAAAGCAAACAGGGTACTTTGATGCCTTCCAGAAAGTCCCAAAGTCCATACAATGCTGCATAGAGCCGTAAAAGTCTAATGGCTTAGACTGAGATCTAAAAAAGTCAAACTCATATGGTGGTGCATGACAATGCTGATTGATAATGGCTAACTGATAATGCTGAGATTATGCCCAGCTGTACTGCATCCATGTGCAGGCTGGCTCAGACACCTGAGTTTGGGGTTACAGAAGGCAGAATCTACAGTCTATCTGCACACAGCTGTGTGGACACAGGCCTGGCCACGTCAAAAAAAGACATGTTACTCTAAGGGGATATACCAAAATACAGAAATACATTCTCAGCTATGAAACCTTCTCAGACTTCTCTGTAACTTATAGCTACTGTACAAAAGGAATTTTAAAAAAAAATGTTTATTCATGTGCACCTTTGCACATGCTGTAGGAAACCAACACCAAAATCAGGGAAAAAAGGAAAAAATGCACGTTTCTACATTGTATTTTGTGTAGAAAAAGTAGGCAAGAATATTTTAACCACTCAGAACATCATTATTATTCTCCATATTGCTAATAAATAGAAAATGTTTGAATTTAAAATGGCTTCAGAACAGCAGGGGTGAAAAAGTTGAATCCCCATCAAAGATACAGTGAGATATACAGAAAGGATTCAGAAAAGGTGTCTCAAAAAAGTCTAGTCTTCAAAGACATGATACATTTTTATCATTCCTACATTTAAGAGAGAAAAGGAATATTTAAGAGAATAAAAAGCAAGCTGAAAGTGAAATTCTACTCGCTGTTGACAACTAAGTCAGCAAACGTATAAAGCACATATTTAATGAAAATTGATCAAAGTTTGTTGGCTATCATTCTGCTACCCAGAAGCCTCCTGACTCAGGAAAGACTATGATTTTGACTAGAAAAAAAAAAAAAAAAAGGGCAGAAATAGCATCCTGCTTAAGCAAATTAACAGTTCCGTCCTTCTAATTAGAATTAAAAGTTCAGATGTTATGTTAGTGCTTAAATACCACAGGATAGAAGAAGGCAGGTGAAACAGGTGACATTTAATACATTTATTTCATGCTGTGAGGGTTTTTTAACAAACACAAGTTCTTCACTTCCCCAAACAAGACTGTTTATCAAATATTAAAACCGCTAAATCCACATGTAGAAATAGTACTTCAATTTATCCAAGCAGCAAGGGACACAAACACACCTCCACTGAACAAATTACCAGAGATATCCTCAGGGACCAGGCAATTTCAAAAAACAACTTAGAATCTGAATACTATCCAGTTGTTGGGCAACTGAGAACCCAAGGAGAACCCGAGCAGGATCCAAGAAATTCAGTAAATCTTGTCAGAATGAAACAACCTCAATACTTCTCACTCTCTTCCAGTATGCTGGAGCTCCAGCTCCCTGTTTGGAACAGGCAGCCCTGCCTTGGAACAACACAGACACACGGTGGCTGCATTTATTGCAGCTAACTACCTAAGCTCCTGAAGCATGCTGTAAGCTCAAAGCTGTTCATATTAATGGAAAGACAATCAAACCAAACTTCTCAGTACAGAGATTCAGAAAGGGACATTACAAGTCATGTTGTTCAACACAAAACAGGAGTGTACAACACTGCTCCCAGTTAATCCAAGAAGAATGCTGCTGCTATTAACTGTATTGTTATCTGCTTTCAAGTAACACTACCATGTTCATGATTTTAATAGAAAAATAACCAGTGACCTCCTGCAGCACTAAAGGTGACCAAAGCCATATAAAAAACACAAGGGGGGGAAGCAGGGTAAAGTCTCATTCAGGGAATTATCACAGTACCACCACCTATCAATTAAAACACCAACATGCTAGAATAAGCAATGCCAAAAAGGATCTGACACAAGGCTTCCAAACTGACTGATGCCCCCCTGCAACCACCAAACTCATCGATGTCTGTGAATTCTGGTTTACTGGCTTGACACACTGCATTAGCTTCAGCTAATAAACAAACCCAGTTCCAGCATGCAAGCACTTTCTTTTGTTTTGAACAGGAAACCACTGAAGCTTCAGTTACAAAACTGCTGCAACTACACAGTTTGATCACTTGTTTTATTGCTTTTCGGCCAGCATTCTCACACAGTAGGTCTTTATGGCACAATTTGAGGAGGAAGTGGATGGGAAACCACTTCATTGTCACTCATCAGAACCATCCCACTCACTTCCACTGATAAACCTGAAGCCAGGAACGATATCCATGTATGTTTTAGTAATGGGAAGAATATGCTTACAGGCCTTCCTGTGGCTTTTGAACACCAAATCTTTAAGAAAGGCAATTACTTTGCCTTTCTTCATTAAGCCATAGCACTAAAAATTGAAGGAAATCAGGTACAGAGCTCCAGCTAACTGTAAGAGCAAGAAGGAAGGACTCAAAAGTAAAGAATAGTCTGGAACCTTACAAATATCACCCTCTACAAAGACTCAATTGTACAGTCCTTTCCCAAGGTAACACACTACAAGTCTGGCTGCTTAAATATTGAACCCACTGGTATTAATAAAAATGAAAGTGAAAATAGCATTCAGATTAGATTGTAACTACATTCAAATTTGTTGAAGTTAGTAAACAAGGACACACATAAAGCAAACTTACAGGAATATGTGGCAAAGTGATTGTTACGTCATCTCCTTTACCAACCTGGAGCTCACCCTCACAAGATGTATCAATCGATGCTGGCTTAAAATCATCTAAAGAGGAAAACAATTATGATTATATTTCTTACCCTGCAAAGAGTCACTGCACATGATTTTAAGGAATGCTAAATACAAAACACATGTTACTGTTTACAGCAGGGATGGAATAACACACCAGTACAACGTGTCTGTGCTCAGCGCCCCAGTTACATCAGCACCAGATTCTAAACTTCCTATTTGAAATGGCAACAAGGTTCTAGACCTTGCATTTGAAGAACAAGAGCAGAATTCCCCAAACCCCAGGCTCTGAGTGACGATTTTGCAGGCAAATGTCAAACTGTATCGTGCATCTGAAAAAAAGTATCTACTTCCAAGACCCAGGGGTCTGAAAAAGACTGCTTCAGTGACACCAACTCATTTAGCATTACTGATATTTCTGGCTATTTAACAGCCACCTTGGCTCTACAATTTCTCCTCAAGGGTAGGGGAGATCTCAGATCTCATCTGTGAGGAAATAAGAGATGCTACCTTACTTCAGCAGACTCCATACTAGTCCAAAGCCACTGTGGACGGAAAGCATGACTAAGGTGAGACACTGTAAATAGCTTTAAACTAACCTTAGCTTTAAGTATTTTTGCTGCATTGTATAGAATAGTTTCTCTCCCAGACAAGGTACTCCTGTTCAGCATATTTATTTGAACTAAGAATAGTTTAACTTAAAAGTACCTTCTCCTCCTTATTCTCTCATACTAACAGGTCGTAAAAACCAGAAAAAACTATTAGTACCTGTAATATTTTTGCATAGGATTTAGACAAAATGCAATAATATCAGAAAGACGTAAGTCGGGGTTTTGGGTTCTGTGGGAGTTTTTTTGGTTGTTGTTTTAGTTTAGGTTCAGGTTTTGTTGGTTTTTTTTAAAATAAGTCTCCATTAAATTCTAGCATCTCTGGATATGAAGAGGTATGATCATATTAATGATCTAGGCTTTTAATTACTGCATTAGCTAAAAAATTAGTATCTCAGAACAAAATTTAAAAATAATTTTGCTATGAAGAGCACACTTGCAGAAAAAAAACAACAAACCCACAACAATTCCACCTTGTAACAAAATTCTCATTAAGAGGACATTGATGTCTAATTGAGTTTTACTTTTGACAGCACAACAAGCAGAATCAGGCACACTTGACTTAATCCTCATGCCTTAACTGCCAGGCCAAATCATACCCTTCATCTTCATCTGAGCAATTTATTTCTTGTTTCCCACCTATTTTAAGGGCAAGTTTGCTAAATAAAACCAGCTGTACAAGAGCTGCTGTCTTTGCCAAAAAGGGAACAAGAGCTTCAACAGCACAGTCACTAAATTAAAAGGAATATCACAATCACACTTCTTTCTTAGGTACCAGCAAAATATAGTTACTCTAAACAAACTCAACAAATTGTTTTCATTTGGTTAGCTTACTAGGTGTGGGTGCTTGGCTAATCTTGCTGTAAGTAGGTGGAATGCACCTCTGTCCCTCCAAATGTACCTGCAGGCCTTTTCCCAAAACTCAAACGTATTTAAGATGCGTTTTCCAGGGATAATACATTTTTTCAGTACTTTAGTGCTTCATAAACATTACAGAAAGGAATGAAGTGTTTGAAGGAGACCAAAACAAATTCAGCCTACAAAACCCTCTCATTGTAGTTTCTGTGAAGAGGATGATGGGGAAAAATACAGTGCTCAGATTCCAGATAAATCATTTCAGATCAACAATTTATAACTAGGAAACGAAGAGTTCTCATTTGAGTAAGTCAGGCATGGAAAATGCAGCACACAGAAAGTCTTTTGAAATAATACTGCATTCTTCCAGCTGTAGTCTGAAGAGCTTTGGCTTTGCAATCCCTTAAGAAATTAATTATTGAAGCACTTTCAATTACAGAAATCCAGTGTATTTCTATCTGGATACATCTTAGATTTAATTAATACACGATAGACAACAACAACTTCAGTCATGTGACAGGCTATTTAAATTTTTTTACTAATAAATTGAGATTTGCTTGTATGTTAGTGCTGGATAAAACCATTCAGTGTTACGTATAAACAGCTAAATGCACCAAACACATGGTATGGTATTTTTTAGCATTATGGATAACCAGAGGGGTGAAACACACAAAATCTAAGTGTTAATCCACCAAACTGAGTTTACTATTGAGCAACATAGCTCTGCCTCAATCATTGACCATCTGCTTGAGTAACAGCAACTCAATCTAGAAAGCTGTTCTTTCTAGTCACATGCGGGTGACTAACATCACCAAAATTACTTAGTCTTACTGTATGAATACGGGCCATGAGACTGGGCCTAGGATTATGCATCATAAACCAAAAAAATCTTACTGTTAACCATATAAATTCCTCGCCTTAATACAAAGCTATTGAAATGTAAGTTTATTATTACATTCATTTGCTGTTGGTGATTGCCTACTCATTTTAAATCCTGGACTCGTTTAGGGGAAGAAAAAGCAATTTCTTGCCCACAGAATTCAAGCACAGAAATACAGGGAGCTCCTCTTCAAGATCATCTTCTAATATGGAATTAAATGCACCAAATGGTCATTGGAGCAACTGGAATAATATCTGGTATCTTAAAAAAAAAAAAGAGCCCACAACATTCTTGCAGTTATCCCAAAACTTCACAACTGTTCGAGAGCCCACCTCGGGGATTTATCTTTACACTTAGCAGGCAGTGCTGTGTGTGCCTGAGTCACTTCTATCGCTGTTCGGGCAGTGAGTTATTGCAGCGGGCTGGCCCGGGCCAGGGCTGCTGGGTTACACCTTGCCTCATCCCCAAAAGAAAGCCAGTTAAAAATCAAACTGCCAGAGCTCCTCTCCAGGCACTCCCGCCAGGCCAGGGGACCTGTCCTGCGACTGCCATTAATAATAATAATAATAACAAATATATCAAAATAAACCAGCAAGCCACCCCCTTACGGAGATGAGCTGCCTCCGTGGGGAAAACACCCGCGGGGGTGGCGGGAAGGTGGGAGCTG